CAGTTCCGACCTGGATCCACAGAAAAACAGTTTCGACCTGGATCCACAGAAAAACAGTTTCGACCTGGATCCACAGAAAAACAGTTTCGACCTGGATCCACAGAAAAACAGTTCCGACCTGGATCCACAGAAAAACAGTTCCGACCTGGATCCACAGAAAAACAGTTCCGACCTGGATCCACAGAAAAACAGTTCCGACCTGGATCCACAGAAAAACAGTTTCGACCTGGATCCACAGAAAAACAGTTTCGACCTGGATCCACAGAAAAACAGTTTCGACCTGGATCCACAGAAAAACAGTTTCGACCTGGATCCACAGAAAAACAATTTCGACCTGGATCCACAGAAAAACAGTTTCGACCTGGATCCACAGAAAAACAGTTTCGACCTGGATCCACAGAAAAACAGTTTCGACCTGGATCCACAGGAAAACAGTTCCGACCTGGATCCACAGAAAAACAGTTCCGACCTGGATCCACAGAAAAACAGTTTCGACCTGGATCCACAGAAAAACAGTTTCGACCTGGATCTACAGAAAAACAGTTTCGACCTGGATCCACAGAAAAACAGTTTCGACCTGGATCCACAGAAAAACAGTTCCGACCTGGATCCACAGAAAAACAGTTCCGACCTGGATCCACAGAAAAACAGTTCCGACCTGGATCCACAGAAAAACAGTTTCGACCTGGATCCACAGAAAAACAGTTTCGACCTGGATCTACAGAAAAACAGTTTCGACCTGGATCCACAGAAAAACAGTTTCGACCTGGATCCACAGGAAAACAGTTCCGACCTGGATCCACAGAAAAACAGTTTCGACCTGGATCCACAGAAAAACAGTTCCGACCTGGATCCACAGAAAAACAGTTTCGACCTGGATCCACAGAAAAACAGTTTCGACCTGGATCCACAGAAAAACAGTTTCGACCTGGATCCACAGAAAAACAGTTCCGACCTGGATCCACAGAAAAACAGTTCCGACCTGGATCCACAGAAAAACAGTTCCGACCTGGATCCACAGAAAAACAGTTCCGACCTGGATCCACAGAAAAACAGTTTCGACCTGGATCCACAGAAAAACAGTTTCGACCTGGATCCACAGAAAAACAGTTTCGACCTGGATCCACAGAAAAACAGTTTCGACCTGGATCCACAGAAAAACAATTTCGACCTGGATCCACAGAAAAACAGTTTCGACCTGGATCCACAGAAAAACAGTTTCGACCTGGATCCACAGAAAAACAATTTCGACCTGGATCCACAGAAAAAACAGTTCCGACCTGGATCCACAGAAAAACAGTTCCGACCTGGATCCACAGAAAAACAGTTTCGACCTGGATCCACAGAAAAACAGTTTCGACCTGGATCTACAGAAAAACAGTTTCGACCTGGATCCACAGAAAAACAGTTTCGACCTGGATCCACAGGAAAACAGTTCCGACCTGGATCCACAGAAAAACAGTTTCGACCTGGATCCACAGAAAAACAGTTCCGACCTGGATCCACAGAAAAACAGTTTCGACCTGGATCCACAGAAAAACAGTTTCGACCTGGATCCACAGAAAAACAGTTTCGACCTGGATCCACAGAAAAACAGTTCCGACCTGGATCCACAGAAAAACAGTTCCGACCTGGATCCACAGAAAAACAGTTTCGACCTGGATCCACAGAAAAACAGTTTCGACCTGGATCCACAGAAAAACAGTTTCGACCTGGATCCACAGAAAAACAGTTTCGACCTGGATCCACAGAAAAACAATTTCGACCTGGATCCACAGAAAAACAGTTTCGACCTGGATCCACAGAAAAACAGTTTCGACCTGGATCCACAGAAAAACAGTTTCGACCTGGATCCACAGAAAAACAGTTTCGACCTGGATCCACAGAAAAACAGTTTCGACCTGGATCCACAGAAAAACAGTTTCGACCTGGATCCACAGAAAAACAGTTTCGACCTGGATCCACAGAAAAACAGTTTCGACCTGGATCCACAGAAAAACAGTTTCGACCTGGATCCACAGAAAAACAGTTTCGACCTGGATCCACAGAAATACAGTTTCGACCTGGATCCACAGAAAAACAGTTTCGACCTGGATCCACAGAAAAACAGTTTCGACCTGGATCCACAGAAAAACAGTTCCGACCTGGATCCACAGAAAAACAGTTTCGACCTGGATCCACAGAAAAACAGTTTCGACCTGGATCCACAGAAAAACAGTTTCGACCTGGATCCACAGAAAAACAGTTCCGACCTGGATCCACAGAAAAACAGTTCCGACCTGGATCCACAGAAAAACAGTTCCGACCTGGATCCACAGAAAAACAGTTTCGACCTGGATCCACAGAAAAACAGTTTCGACCTGGATCTACAGAAAAACAGTTTCGACCTGGATCCACAGAAAAACAGTTTCGACCTGGATCCACAGGAAAACAGTTCCGACCTGGATCCACAGAAAAACAGTTTCGACCTAGATCCACAGAAAAACAGTTCCGACCTGGATCCACAGAAAAACAGTTTCGACCTGGATCCACAGAAAAACAGTTTCGACCTGGATCCACAGAAAAACAGTTTCGACCTGGATCCACAGAAAAACAGTTCCGACCTGGATCCACAGAAAAACAGTTCCGACCTGGATCCACAGAAAAACAGTTTCGACCTGGATCCACAGAAAAACAGTTTCGACCTGGATCCACAGAAAAACAGTTTCGACCTGGATCCACAGAAAAACAGTTTCGACCTGGATCCACAGAAAAACAATTTCGACCTGGATCCACAGAAAAACAGTTTCGACCTGGATCCACAGAAAAACAGTTTCGACCTGGATCCACAGAAAAACAGTTTCGACCTGGATCCACAGAAAAACAGTTTCGACCTGGATCCACAGAAAAACAGTTTCGACCTGGATCCACAGAAAAACAGTTTCGACCTGGATCCACAGAAAAACAGTTTCGACCTGGATCCACAGAAAAAACAGTTTCGACCTGGATCCACAGAAAAACAGTTCCGACCTGGATCCACAGAAAAACAGTTCCGACCTGGATCCACAGAAAAACAGTTCCGACCTGGATCCACAGAAAAACAGTTTCGACCTGGATCCACAGAAAAACAGTTTCGACCTGGATCCACAGAAAAACAGTTTCGACCTGGATCCACAGAAAAACAGTTTCGACCTGGATCCACAGAAAAACAGTTTCGACCTGGATCCACAGAAAAACAGTTTCGACCTGGATCCACAGAAAAACAGTTTCGACCTGGATCCACAGAAAAACAGTTCCGACCTGGATCCACAGAAAAACAGTTTCGACCTGGATCCACAGAAAAACAGTTTCGACCTGGATCCACAGAAAAACAGTTTCGACCTGGATCCACAGAAAAACAGTTTCGACCTGGATCCACAGAAAAACAGTTTCGACCTGGATCCACAGAAAAACAGTTCCGACCTGGATCCACAGAAAAACAGTTTCGACCTGGATCCACAGAAAACAGTTTCGACCTGGATCCACAGAAAAACAGTTTCGACCTGGATCCACAGAAAAACAGTTTCGACCTGGATCCACAGAAAAACAGTTTCGACCTGGATCCACAGAAAAACAGTTTCGACCTGGATCCACAGAAAAACAGTTTCGACCTGGATCCACAGAAAAACAGTTTCGACCTGGATCCACAGAAAAACAGTTTCGACCTGGATCCACAGAAAAACAGTTTCGACCTGGATCCACAGAAAAACAGTTTCGACCTGGATCCACAGAAAAACAGTTCCGACCTGGATCCACAGAAAAACAGTTTCGACCTGGATCCACAGAAAAACAGTTTCGACCTGGATCCACAGAAAAACAGTTTCGACCTGGATCCACAGAAAAACAGTTTCGACCTGGATCCACAGAAAAACAGTTTCGACCTGGATCCACAGAAAAACAGTTCCGACCTGGATCCACAGAAAAACAGTTCCGACCTGGATCCACAGAAAAACAGTTCCGACCTGGATCCACAGAAAAACAGTTTCGACCTGGATCCACAGAAAAACAGTTTCGACCTGGATCCACAGAAAAACAGTTTCGACCTGGATCCACAGAAAAACAGTTCCGACCTGGATCCACAGAAAAACAGTTCCGACCTGGATCCACAGAAAAACAGTTCCGACCTGGATCCACAGAAAAACAGTTCCGACCTGGATCCACAGAAAAACAGTTTCGACCTGGATCCACAGAAAAACAGTTTCGACCTGGATCCACAGAAAAACAGTTTCGACCTGGATCTACAGAAAAACAGTTTCGACCTGGATCCACAGAAAAACAGTTTCGACCTGGATCCACAGGAAAACAGTTCCGACCTGGATCCACAGAAAAACAGTTTCGACCTGGATCCACAGAAAAACAGTTCCGACCTGGATCCACAGAAAAACAGTTTCGACCTGGATCCACAGAAAAACAGTTTCGACCTGGATCCACAGAAAAACAGTTTCGACCTGGATCCACAGAAAAACAGTTCCGACCTGGATCCACAGAAAAACAGTTCCGACCTGGATCCACAGAAAAACAGTTTCGACCTGGATCCACAGAAAAACAGTTTCGACCTGGAACCACAGAAAAACAGTTTCGACCTGAATCCACAGAAAAACAGTTTCGACCTGGATCCACAGAAAAACAGTTTCGACCTGGATCCACAGAAAAACAGTTTCGACCTGGATCCACAGAAAAACAGTTCCGACCTGGATCCACAGAAAAACAGTTTCGACCTGGTTCCACAGAAAAACAGTTTCGACCTGGATCCACAGAAAAACAGTTTCGACCTGGTTCCACAGGTAACTTCGTCCTAATCTCCACAGAACCAATGTGCACACTCCAAACCCACCACACCTCTGCCACCACTGCTTACCATCCCCGCCCTCCATCCCACGCCTTATTGCTCCAATCCGTCTACACCTCTCCCACAACTGCTTACCACTGCAAAAAGGGCTGCTCATGTGTGCCCCAGCGCGCCTCCCTGCACACTCAAGCTGCTACCCACATGCTGGAGTTACCTGTAGGGCCTTCCATCGCACGCCCAGCCACACCACTGACACTACCACCACTAACCTGACAAGCCCTGCATACGGCACGCTGTCACACCTCTCCCACAACTGCTTACCACAGCAACAAGGGCTGCTCGTGTGTGCCCCAGTGCGCCTCCCTGCACACTCATGCTGCTCCCCTCATGCTGCCAAAACCTGTCAAGCCCTCCATTCCACAACATGTTCCGTACACTGCTATCCCCACTGCTTACCACGGCAACAAGGGCTGCTCGTGTGTGCCCCAGTACACCTCCCTGCTCACTCAAGCTGCTCCCCTTGCCGCTATTAGCGCTGGCACCACCACCACTGCCGCCACCAACAGCAGCAGCTGCAGAAGCAGTCCCAGCAGTAGCAGCACCAGCACTAGCACCAGCAGCAGTTGCAGCAAGAGCAGCACCAGTAGTGGCAGGGTCAGAAGCGATCAAACCACCCTCACCACCATCTATATTCGCTATAGTGTCCTCCAGTGCAAGCCCTGTGACTCGCGACGCGGCGTGCAGGGAGACGGGGCGGGTGACGAGAGGGGCGGCAAGGGCGGCACGGCACTGGGCGACAGAGAGGCCCGCCTCTGCCGCCACCTCTGCTACAGTGGCCTTACGGCCCAGCCGATTCTCCACTGCTGCTCTTGCCTTGCGCACTGAAATGAGAGTCTGTGGAAGGGGGGAAGGTGAACGAGGGGAAGAGGAGGAGGGGAGCGAGGGGGGGGAAAGAGGCCCTATTCAAGACGGGGGAAAGAGTGAGGAAGAGAAGCAACTTGAGGGAGTGTGAATCATAATATGAATGTGCAAGACACTAGGTGCTTCTGAGACGTCTCAAATGTGCAAGACACTAGGTGCTTCTGAGACGTCTCAAATGTGCAAGACACTAGGTGCTTCTGCCTCCTGATGCTCCATTGCTGCTCTTGCCTTGCGCACACTCACACCCACACACCCTCGCACACTCACTATGGAACTCTTAGCAGGCATGTGCAGGAAACTGGGTAGAAGGAATGGCACAAATAATCGCCGTCCTGACTGCGTGTGTGGCGAAGGTGGAGAAGCGCAGGCACCTGGCGAGGTCAAAGCAGCCCACCCCTCCACAGCACCCTCAGAACGCCCTCACAACACCCCCATGTACTTACCATAGAACTCCTGGCAGGTGTTTTGAGTCGACTCAAAACACGACCCCCACGTACTTACCATAGAACTCCTGGCAGGCATGCGGACGAACTGAGTGGAGGGTATGGCACAAATAATCGCCGTGGCGAAGGTGGAGAAGCGCAGCGCAGCCGCCTGGTAGGGTCAAAGCAGCCAGTCTCCATTGCAATACCCTCACAGCACCCTCACAGCACCCTCACAGCACCCTCACAGCACCCTCACAGCACCCTCACAGCACCCTCACAGCACCCTCACAGCACCCTCACAGCACCCTCACAGCACCCTCATAGCACCCTCACAGCACCCTCACAGCACCCTCAGAACACCCTCAGAACACCCTCAGAACACCCTCAGAACACCCTCAGAACACCCTCAGAACACCCTCAGAACACCCCACAACACCCCACAACACCCTCCTCCGCACTCACCATGGAGCTCCTAGCAGGCATGCGCACAAACTGCGTCGACGGTATCGCACGAATGATGGCCGTACGAACTGCGTGCGTGGCGAAGGTGGAGAAGCGCAGGCGCCTGGCGGGGTCAAAGCGGCGGGCAGCCGTGGTGAGACCCTCGAGGCCGCGCTGGCAGACAGCGATGAAATCAGCTCCGGTGGAGAGACGGAAGGAGTGGGCGATTGAGAGCACAAGGCGCAGATTGTGCTGCAACAGGTGGGGAATATGCAAAAGGGGAGAGGGGAAGGAAGGAGGGGCGGGAGGGGGGAGAAGTTGGAAAGAGGGGCAGGGGAAGGGGGACGTTAAGTGTGAGAAAGCGAGCAGGGAGCGGAAGCCGTGATTAGGCCATTGAGACCACGCTGGCATACAATGATGACGTTGGAGAGGTGAAAGGAGTGGGAGATTGAGAGCATTTTGAGGCGCCTCAAAATACACCTCAATGATGAAGTTGGAGAGGTGAAAGGAGTGGGAGATTGAGAGCATTTTGAGGCGCCTCAAAATACACCTCAATGATGAAGTTGGAGAGGTGAAAGGAGTGGGAGATTGAGAGCATTTTGAGGCGCCTCAAAATGCACCTCAATGATGAAGTTGGAGAGGTGAAAGGAGTGGGAGATTGAGAGCATTTTGAGGCGCCTCAAAATACACCTCAATGATGAAGTTGGAGAGGTGAAAGGAGTGGGAGATTGAGAGCATTTTGAGGCGCCTCAAAATACACCTCAATGATGAAGTTGGAGAGGTGAAAGGAGTGGGAGATTGAGAGCACAAGGCGCAGGTTGTGCTGTGAGTGGAGGCAGAAGGTATGAAGGGGATGGGAGGAAGCGAACAGGAATGTGAGGCGGTGGTGAGGTTAGGCCCTCTAAGCCACTCTGGCAGACACTGATGACGTTGGCTCTGGTGGAGAGGTGAAAGGAGTGGGCTATGGAGTGCACGAAATGCAGGTTGCCTTAATGGATTGTAAAAGTGGGGTGAGCGAAAGAGAAGAAACACGAGAAGAAGGTGGAAGGGAGGGCACCGGCAGGAAAGAGGGGAAGAGGGTGGGAGGGAAGGGACAGAGAAAACAGGGGAAGTAGGTGAGAGAAAACACCAGACCATTCCCTCTGCATTCACTATCACCACTTTACTAAACCCACCAGCACCATTTTCCACCAAACATTCCCACTCTGCACTCACCAGAACGAGCTTGGTTCGGGCAGCCTGAGCGGCGAGCAGTTGTCGGTGCAGCTGCTTGGGAGTCAGATTACAAAGCACTGCCCATTCCGCGTGCGATAGCACATGCCGCTGCTGCTGCTGCTGCTCCTGCTGCTGCTGCTGCTGCTGCTGCTGCTGCTGCTGCTGCTGTTGTCCCAAACGTGCAATGCTCGCATCTGCATCTGCATCTGCATCTCCACGCCCATCTGCTTCTGCATCTCCATATCCGTCTGCTTCTGCATCCCCACGCCCATCTGCGAATCCCTCAGCAACCTCACGAGTTGCATTCACCTCACGTCCAGCTGAGGCTGTTGCTAGGGCTGCTGGGGCTGCCGAGCCTGCGGGCTTAGCAGCGGCTGCAGCAATCTTAGCTCGCTCCTCCAGTTCCTGGAAAGGGGATACGCGAGGGGCGATGAAAGAGGAAAAGAGGTTCTGGGACGTCTCAAACGGGGTGGTGAGAGAGGCGAATGGATGCACTGGATGGAAGGAAGAATATCGAACGATAAAAGTGGCGGCTATGAGAAGAGGAGGGACTTTTGAGTCGACTGAAGGTGACTTTGGGTCGATTAGAGGTTACTCTAAGAGTAGACTCAAAGTCATAAGGGGTGGTGAAAGAGGCGAATGGATGCACGGGATGGAAGGAAGAATATAGAACGATAAAAGTGGCGGCTATGAGGAGAGGAGGGAGGCGAAGGAGGGAGACGGGAGGAGGCAGGAAAAGTCGAAAAGTCAGGGCTGTTGAGTCACTCGATCTGCCCGAATCATCACTAGTTGTCACACCACCTTCAATCCCCTCATCGCCCACCACTCACATTCCCCCGCTGTATCAGCTCCGCCAATCGTAGCTCCTCTTTCGCCGGCAGCAACGAGCGCGGCTGCGTCCAATCAACGTTCATCGCTGTATCGCCCCCGCCATAGTCACGAATCAGCGCATCCACCTCCTCCTCGCTCATCGCGTTCCCACCAGCCGCTCCCCCGCTCGCGGAACCTCTTCCCACTCCGCCACTTCCCCTTACGCGCGGGGAAGCTGAAACGGCTTCCGCTTCCGATTCCAGCTCCGCTTCCGCCTGCCCATCTTCCGCCATTTCCAGCGCGTTTCCGCTCATCCGCAGGCCCATCGCGAGGGCAGCTGCGCGCAACCTCCTCCGCATCGCCCGCCTCCGCGCTGCAGGATCCATTTCCGCCATGTTTCCGCCCACATCTGTTTCCCCCTCCGCCACTCCCCCTGCTGGCAGCTTCGTCGCAGAAGCTGACAAAAAACGCCGCCCTCTGACAGGTTTCCGCCTGGCGCCCCGCAAGGCGTCGCTGGGGCTGAGATTCCACGCGGCCTCGAGCTGCTCGCGCACTTCCCGCGTGACTTCTAGCCGCGCCGCGTCGCCGTCGTAATCGTTTTCTGAGCTCTTCGATGCCTGCGACGACGGCGACGAAGATGACGACGCCGATTCCGCGTCGTCTAGCCGCACGAGGAACGCTGCGACCTCTGCGACGAGCGAGAGACCCGTCGCAGAGGGATCGAGCTTCATGAAGGGAGTGGCCGCCGCAGAAGTACCATAAGGATTTGAAGCGATATCTCCCTGCTGGCCTGATAAGCGCTTAAGCAAATCTTCATCGGTTAAGGCGAAGTCGTCTGGGTTCGAACCGGTCCTGCGCTTTCTCTGCCGCCTCGTTCTCTTCTCCCCGGAATCTGCAGTTGTTCCGGTGCTAGCGCTCGTCGGCGGTAGCTCGAGTAAAACGGCCATGGCGACCGGCGATGTAGCCGCGGCGGTCCGCGTGGCGGGAGAAAGCGATCGAGAGTGAAACTTCTCAAGGAAACCATGATCATGATGGTTCTTGGAATACTTTCTCAGAGAGTTTCGGGACGTCTCAAAACTGAGAGAGTTTCTGTGGCCGACTCTAAATCCCCCGGGTTTTCCGCCGCCGATCAAGGACAGGCTGTGCTTTATCGCGATTTGGTGATGACGTGGCCGCGAGGGTGTGAGAGCGGAGGAACAGACGATTGGAGAGCTCGACGCGACTTGCGCCGCCATCACGGAAGATTCGAAGAACCTTAGGAGATATCTAATGCGAATTTTGAGTCGGCAATGGCTGGTGCTGGAGCAGGTCTAGACTCCACTAGAATACTTCATATAGTGAAGTCACAGCAGCAGAACAGAGAATCGTGTTCTTGATTTTAGATGGCCCTATTCACATGCAGTAAACAGCTTCTGCAGTTATTGCTGCTTGTGCTCATGTGTGGTCCGAGAAACTCAGCGATAGCAGCTTATCTTTGACGAACAGCACATTCAGCATTTACTCGGGAGAAGTTGGCGGGGAGATGGGTGGGGCACTGGGGGTGTCAGGTTCCTGGGGGAGAACGACGATGCAGTACTGTAATTGCCCGTTGCATATTGGTGGACCTGCGTCCGCGCTGCAGTGGTGGCATTCTCGAAGTGCTCGAGGCGGCGTGGCGAAAAGGCCGATCGCCACGCAAGCAAACCGGTGCAAAGTACAGATGAGCTGACCTGGAAGTGACGAGGCACGGGGAGCGGATTCGTTGGAAGCAGGTATGATTGTGTGGCGCGAAGAGTCTTCGGGAATGTTGTGGACATCTCCAGCCAATCCAAACGCGTCGTTTAGGACATGTACCTCAACGACGAACTGTGACGAAAGGGACGGACGGAAAGGCTATTTCCACGGCATGGTTACACGCAACAAAGCAAATTTGCGAAATTGGCTAGAAGCCTCAATGAAGAAAATCAAATAAGAATAAATGACAACCCTAAAATGCCCCATGGTAAGTCTAGCAAGCTACCTCACCCAGTCCCCAAGAAGGGAACTTTACTAGCATAAGCACTAGTCCTAGTCAAGCATCAAGCTATCCTCCCCCCCCAACCCCCCCCTTCCACTCAACTCTCAGTAAATAACCCGCTTCATTTGTGCTGCTCCTTTAGGGCTCCACCCACACTCTCTTCCTCCAATCCCATCCTCTCAAGTGCATCCAGCAGCCCCTTGCTCAGAGGCCGCTCCCTTACAATCCCCCTTCCCCCCTCCGTTCCCTGCACATCCCCCTCTCCCTCCTCCTCCTCCGTCCGTCTCAACGCCCACCCACCCCTCCGCCTGCTCCCAGGCGTTCCAACGTTGACTAGCGTGGACCAAGGCGGTGACTCCCCACCACTTTTTGACCCGCGTTGACTTCCAGGCGTGCGTAACGGAGTGCTGACAGCACTGCCAGCGCTGATATTACCAGCAACGGCTGGGATCTCATCCTGATAGCGAGAAACTGGCGGCGCGCCGTGGTCAGGGGCGGGGGAGGAGAGATGCCGCGGGCTGCGCGCCCGACGCATGGGAGAGGGGGAGCGGGGGCGCAGAACGCGCGGCCCTCCCGTTCCAGCGGCGGCGGAGTTAGGGGCGCGGCGGCTTCCGGGGGGGATGCCCGCGGGAAGCGCGGGGGAGGAGAGCTGGGAGGCGAGTGAGGAGCGGAGGCGGCGGGTCGTGGTTGCGGAGCTGCCTTCATCAGCAGCGTCGTAATTACGCTGCTGCGACCCACGATGCTGCTGCACGGACCAGGGCACAGGAGAAAAGCAAGAACGAACGGTCAGACTGGATAACAGAGAAATCCCACAGGAAACATGGAAACTCTGAGATTACGCTGATTCGCTGATCTACTGCAATCGTGTTCAATCCCTTTCTCTCTCACCTCGCGAATAGCGTTAATAGCAGCTAGCAGGCCTGCGGGGTCCTTCCCCAGCACCGCGCCGATCTTTCCGCCAACCTGCCACTTGGCGCGGCTCCGCCTACCCGTTCCGCCTTCCGCCAACACTCCCCCCGCGGAACCCGCCACACCGCCGGTCGACGGCGTGGAGCGGGGAATAGGGGACCTAGCGCGCGGGATGGGCGAGGTGGCGCAGCGGACGAGCGCGGGAGCGGTCAGCGTCGCCGAGCCCTTAACGGCGGACATGACGGTAGGCGAAGCAAGAACGGCCGCTCTGCGACGACGGAGAGGAGTCACGGCCTGCGGAGTATGGTCGCACGGGTCGCACAGGTCGAGGTGTGCGAAACCTTCGCCGCTGCCGCCGCCGTCGCCAGCGACATCGCCATACGTCGCAGAGATTGGTTCCTGGATGCTGAAGCAGCGCTGGATGGTGTGCTGCCTTGTCAGCGTCGCCTGGCTGCACGGGGTGACGCCATTCCAACTCGGCGTGCTGCTCTGCCTCGTCAGCTTCGACCTGCTCTTCGCGACAATCTCGGGCGTATCCTCCTGAGACGGCGTCGAGAGAAGCAGCTTTGAAACCTCGCTCCGTAGCGCTTCAGCACCGTCGTCATGTGCACCGTCACCAGATTCGACCAGTCGCGATCCTTTAGAGGTCAAAGGTGCAGGAGTGCACGGATCAGCAGGCACGCCAGCTGGCTTCGAAGGAAGCACCGCCGCATTCAACGGCGACGCCGGAGTAGGCTTGCTGGATGCAGTGAGTTCGGCTGACGTGTCGTTGGTGACGTCAGATAGAGCTGGTCGCGGTCGAGGGTTTCTCGCAGGCTGTCGTTTAGCAGCTGTTGGCTTTCGCTGCGTCGGCATCGGTGTCGTCGTTCCTGCAGTGAAAAAGTGGCGAATATATTGAAATGATCTGGACAACGAAGATTCACACATGAAAAACATAACTTGCGGAATGAATAGAAGGCGAGACGAGTGCTGCTAACCTGGCGGGACGGGACTGGAGAACAACTGAGCTCGGGCCCTGCTGCGAGTACGTACGCCAAGTACGGGTGTATCGTTAGCCATCACAGTTAGATTTTCTTATGATGAATCTGGCTCGTGAGAATCTTTTTTCGCTAACAGACTTAAATGTAGCGCTGAACGAAGTTAGGAGATTTCTTATTAACCCTAGAACTGCCAAAATGAGCAACTACTACTAGGCAACTGGCAAAAAGAACGAGGCAAGGGCTAAGGTATGAATGAGCAAGCGCGAGTCCTAGTATTCAACCAAGTGACCTAGTCGCAAGGCTGAATGGCTGCAATGGAATTCTGAGGTGCACCAAGGTGGAAGGCTGAGGTAGCAAAGAGCAGGAAGGCTGCAGCACCCAGATGTGGAACGGACAACAACGAATTTCTAGTCGTGCTATAATGACCGTTCGATTGTGAGCGCAAATGGACTCAAATTTACTGGACGCCCAAGATCAGTTGCGTGCGTTTATGGGTGAATGGAAAGACTGCCTGATGGTTTGTTTTGCCGCCATGCCGTTTAAATTTGAAGCGAAAGCGGATTCATTCCTCGCCGCGCGCGCTGCGACTAGTTCAGAAAACGGCTCAGACCTAAAAAACGTAGGGCGCGTCAGATCCCCAAACATACGAAATTTGGAGAATCCTTCTGGCCAGTTTTTGCAAAAGTAACCAGCCAGCTACGCTCATTGATAAAATCACTTTCGTTTTCAGGATCTTTTTATTGCGGTGTCGACTCTAACCGGCCATATAGCCGACATCACATAAAAACAGTCACCTGCGACATGACACACATCGCTGAGCGATAGATTGTATGAACCCCACTGCCAAGCAATATTTTGTTACAATATCGCCTTCAAATGTGCGACACCATTGCAAATATCCGACCATTTGCGCAATTGCAAATCTTCCACGTTCAATAGAATGGCCGGCAAATCGGCCAAACATGTAAAGACGCGGTAAAAGTGCAAATATCGCAGGATCGTGTCAGAATATCGAGTCGCACGATCGATTTAGCGGATCGATTGGCGAAACGACACGCAAACGTCGTTGTAACGATTGCCCCTAGGTTTTGGGTTAATATCCAGCGATCAATAATCAGTCGCACTCCCTTACTGTGCACAAATTACTGACAAAAACCATAATATAACATGGTTACACGCAAATAAACCGGGTAATAAATCCGCACACCGATCCCGACAGACGATCGATCTATCAAAATAATTGTGCAGGATTGATTTGATTAGCAAGAGTTGGGGTACAAGTACTAACCCTAGAAGTGCTGTACCTCATAAGGAGTGCCCCACTATAGCCAACAAGTGAGATTGTACTTGCCACAACCCCATAGGCTAAGTTGGGGACAACAAGAAGGTCACAAGACCAGTCAAGCAAGACAACATAGCAAAGCAAAGCAAAGCTCAGGGTGGATCTCAAGGACACCACACAATCCGAGCACAAGCAAGCGGCCAAAAGGCCAGTTCACATTCAGAGGTATAATAGCAAGGCAATACACTGATCACAACTTAGCAAGAGGAAACTGTCAGAATCCCAACCACCAGACCATTGGGATAAAATGACTTGTTAAGTAGCGGGTCAGTGCGCCCATAACCCCCCAGGACAGCGAGCCTATAACCCTTCCCTAGGATCAATCGGGGATCACCAGTGGACCTCTGACACCCCCCCGCACTGGGATACCCGAAGTGCACACGCTGGGATTCGAACCCGAGACCTTCGCTCTGATACCATGTCAAAATCCCAACCACTAGACCATTGGGATAAAAGGGCTTGTTAAGTAGCGGGTCAGTGCGCCCATAACCCCCCCAGGACAGCGAGCCTGTAACCCTTCCCTAGGATCAATCGGGGATCACCAGTTGACCTCTGACAGAAACATGCAGGTATAAATATAGATATCAGTGTACAACAAGTGCAAGATCAAGAGACAAGCAGGTGAGGTAGAACGGGCAGAAGCCCAAGAGCAGTGCAAAAACGCTGAAGATCACTAGACCCGAGGGCCTTGGTGAAGACATTAGCAGTGTTGGCCCGAGAGGCCACGTAAGAAAGGCGAAGCTGACCACACTACTGCAGCTCTCGAGAAAGAAAGTAGCGAAGAGCAATGTGCTGTTGGTGCAACCCTACGGTTTGCACTCGGCTTGTTGTCCGTGTGCGTGAATGTGTGTGTGTATGGAATGGTATGAGGGCATGGGATAATATATATTTCATGCTTATTATTGTGTGTGAATGTTGAGTCATGATGTCGAGTGTGTGTGTCGAGTCAATAGCGAGTTATCGCTAGACGCGTGTTACGCGGTCGTTTGTGTCTCGCGCGCGGTTTCTATTTTGTCGTGCGCGGTTTCTATTTTGTCCTATGTCGAACGTTCGGCGTGTCGCAGGTGTGTGCAGCAGACCCATCAAGAACTCAAGGATGAGTTTGTGATGAAGAGCCCGAGCCTTGGTGTCAAGCCTCAAGTGATTTCGAAGCTCGCCAAAAAGGGTACACCTCAAGATATTGAAGATAGTTACATTACTTTGTGTAGTGTAACATTTCACTTGGTGTAGGCCCTAGTGAAGGGTAGTTTCGAGACCCTTCGTGGTTGGGGACAGTGTGGCACTGTTCCACATCACTGTACCTCGGCTCTTGGGGTTTGTAGGAGCTGGGAGTCATTCCCAACTCGTAACTCTTCCTATCTTGTGTTCTAAGACTATAGTGGCTGCCATAGTACCGTTCGTTCAAACCGACGCTGTGTCGTCAATTCTTTATCAAATCGTGCAATCTAAATTGCTAATTGTAGACGACGTGAAGACGCTCCAGATCCAATTTGAATCAAGTCATTTGCAACTGTGAGCAGAACGCTATCAACGTTTGAAGCCGCTGTGCAGAAATCCGTCTGTGCTCTCTATCTTTCGTTTTAGGCACATTCAAGCCTATTGTGACTATAACAAGTGGTATCAGAGCCCCTTGGAGCAGTTTCGACAATGTCTGGACCTGAGGAAAGGGGTGGCAGAGGTGCTGGTGGCAGTGGAGAAGCTCAAGCTCAAGGCCAACCCCGTGATTCAGCCATGGCGCCCATGCAACCAAGTCTTGGCCCACCTAGGGATGAGCCTAGGGTGTTTGGGCTTGAGAAGTTCAACGGTGACAACTTTGCTGAATGGTCCTTCAAGATGGAGAACATCTTTGACCACTATGACCTGCTGGAGGTGATGGAAGGAACGGAGAAGCGCCCCGAGAACGACCCGGAGAAGAGCCCGTGGGTGCGGAAGAGCGCACAAGGCTATCTCTTACTTGGGCAAGCGTTGGGGAGCAGTCAGATCCGTCACATCAAGCCATTCCAGCGTGAACCAGAGAAAGGACCAAAGGCATGGGCTGCTCTCAAGGGTGTATACGCTCCTGCAACAGCGGCGGTAGTGGTGGTGTTGGAATGGCAAATGGCGGCACTACGAATTGAAGAAGACGAAGCGGTTGAAGAAGGGGTGCAGAAATTCTTCGACTTACTGACGCGGCTTGAGGGAGCTGATTTGAACTACAGTGAGCTCCAAAAGAAGACCAAGTTGCTGGCCTTACTCCCAGAGTCATGGTCCTCGCTCATCATCAACCTTAATCGCGACTTGCCCCGCCTCTCGCTTGAAGACGTGAAGCGAGCTATCCTTCAAGAGGATTTCCGCCGCCGTGAGTTGGCGAGTGCGGATGGCGCTGGGGCAGCGAGCATCGGCCGTGGATATGGTCGAGGAAGAGGCAGAGGACGAGGGGGAGGAAGGTTTGGTGGCAGCAACTTCGGCGGAGGCCGCAGGAGTGGCGGTTACGGCAGCGACGACAAGAGCTACGGACGCGGTCGCGGCCGATTCGACGGCGAGTGTCACTATTGCCACAAGAGCGGACACATGTGGCGCGACTGCTACAAACTCCCTGATGGTTGGACCCCTGCTCAAGGCCAAGAGGGTAGAGGAGCAGGAGGAGGGAGAGGACGAGGCCGTGGAGGCCGTGGCGGTCGCGGTGGCGGAGCTGCAAACATGAAGAGCGGAGACAACGACAAGGACCCGAGCGACGATCGATACCCGGGTCTATTCTACTTCGTGTCGACGCAAGTACCGGCTGGTCCAGAGAAGGATGAAGGCTTTGAGGAGCCAGCAGCTGTGGGGAAGGTGACCCTACACCCCTTGGACTATTGGGTGATTGATAGTGGCGCTACCTATAGCATGACACCTCGCCCGGACTTGCTCACCGAACTCGAGCCGTCACCGGTGAAGCA